GATTCTTGTTGTTGGCAAACCACGTGCACAAGCACTACTCACGTTAGATGGCTGGGTATAGACCGGGAGTGGGACATACTAACAGTGTAGCAGTATGTGTGCCCGCACGATATGGTGTAAGGCTGGTAGAAGAGTCGAGCGCAGATCTTGCATGTGAGATTCTGACGCAGACTGTCGAAGTCGCTTTTGAGGAGCTTGAGTTGCTGCACGAAGTCAGCCACGACTTTCCCGTTGCTCTCGTGCACGTGTCTAGAGTATTTTACCTCTTCTGACTTGCTTGGGCGGGGTGCCTCTTCGCTCTTTTTCAGCATCTTCTGCTTGAGGCTGTCCCTGCTCGCCGGCCGTGTTGCCGCCTTGTCGTCGGCGAGTTTTGTGGTTGACCGGCCTGCAGTCGGTGTGCTGCCTCGTGCGGTCCGCGAGCCAGGGGCCATGGTGGGAGACTGCTGCGAGCTCGAGGCGGCATGTGCAGAGGTTATCGAAGATGACGAGTTCTTAGGCCTGGCGGTGGCCGGCGGGGTCGTGCGAAGATTGTCCATGACTGCCAGCAGTGCAGCGCGCGACAATGAGCAGGAAGAGGCTCACATGGGAATCGTCCCCGGGGAAAGTGCTGCTCTGGTGCTGGCAGTCGCGGTGCATGCAAGGTGAGAGTGACTGGCGTCGGCGTTGGCGTTGGGGTGCTCTTCCAAGCAAGCGCCGTCTCCGACGATTTGCCGCACATCCCGCGCCTGAGGCAATCACCTTTCACTCCTCAACCAGCGCTTACCAGGGCGAAACATGATTTTCGTCCAATGAATGCTCAGCGATTCAAAAATTCATCATTGTTTATGCTTGGATCTGACCAAGGCATCACAATTGTTTGCTGAGAAGACGCTGACAGCGATACCATGGGGCACGCGACTGTCTTTTTGTGCGACGTGCACGTTTGCCTCCGTTCGTCAAGGTGAGCGTCAAGTCGCTTCATCGGCTGCAGCTGTTAGCCCAAGACCTTGTCATACATTGAACACTGATGTGGACGCCATCGACGATCGTTCTCGGCTTGTCATATTTGCCATAAGTCGCATGTTGGTCCGCACGTTCTAACCCTCGTTCAAGATTTCTCTATCTCATATCACTGCATCATTGTTCCTTCACTCATAGCAAGGGTTGAATCTGGAAGAAACGGGCAACTTTCATTATTATCTACACTGAATATAGCCTCGCAAACACTAATACTCCATTCCATCGGAGCACCAACGCCATTTTGAACCATGCTAATAATTCAATGCGAACAGCTGACGGTGCCAATGCGGAGAGGGAAGACTCAAGCGCTCGCAACGCATGAAAACAATGACTTGGGAAAGGCTGGAAGACGACAGACTTGCAAGAGCTTGGGCGTAACTATGCCGAACGTCCAGTCTAGTCGTCAGCACCTGCGGAGGCACCAGATTGTCGGGTGTCAACAGGCTCACCGACAAGTACGTTCGGAACGTCAATCTCTTCGATGAAGCCTGTTTGGACCTCATCTTCAACGACAAGCTCGTTGTTGGTATGCGACAAGAAGTCGATAGACTCTTGCAAGAACGCCTTGTGACCTTGGGTGTCGAACTTCTCACCAGCTTCGCGTCGGGCGCGCAACTGCTCACGGGCTTGGCGGATGCGGTGCTCCATGATTTCCAGGCGATAATCGGCGAAGTTGTTGTATAGCTCTTTCAGGTCAGAGACTGGACGAACTGTACGCAGAACGGAGTCGTCCTTGACAAAGGGGGAGCGAGGACGCCAGGACGTCACAGCAGTGATACGCTCCTTGGCTCCAAGTGCACGTAGTGCCTGGTGGGTGATGTAGCGGCCTTGCAGTATCACGGCGCAGCCTTCTTGAGGACCTCGAACGCGGATGACTTCACCGGTTGCAGTACGAAGAGCGGTCTCGCCGCCAACCATGTTGGTGCAGTCGGACAGCATCAAGACGCAGACGAATGGGTACGAGTCTGTGTGCCACCCAACGATGGGCTTGTCGTCCTCTGGATGGCTAACGTCAATGCCTTCATCTGAATGCACGGAGGACTTGCGCGGATGCAGAACTGCCAGTTCGGCCTTGGCTTGCTCTTCAGTCTTGGTAGCTGAAAGATTGATATGCGCAATCTCGTAGTCGCCCCACGGAACGAGGTCTACACCAGCCAGCTTGGAGATGATGGCAATGGTTCGAGGGTGGTTCCATGCAGCGTAGGTGAATGGGGCGTGATTGCGCGCATAGCCACGCAATTGGGCTGCGGCTATGTTACTAGCAAAGGTATGACCGGCCCTGACTTCGTACTTGTCAATCTCCGAACGCATAATCTTGATGGCTTCAGGAGAGAAGAGCTGGAATGGATTGGTGACTGCCACGGGAGAGACGCCAACGTCTTCAGCATAACCGATGTCCTTCATCATGATGATGCTGGACGGCTCCTTGAATGTGAGATGCTCCTCTGGGTCGAATGTCGGGGTGTCCTGCACCTTGACGCCTTCTTCCAGAGCAGCAGCTTGGTTGAGGAAGGTATTTGTTTCTGCTCGACAAAGAGCCACTGGGTGTGGGATCTTGGTCGGTTGCATCATGGCGGCTGAAGACGGTGCTTGCGCTGAAGAGTTAGCCGCGGTGATGGTGTTGACAGTTGATAATCGCTGTGCTCGAGCAGTTGTGCTTGCCGACAGTTGTGCTCAAGAGTGGAGTGAATTGTGATGCGATGGAGAATAATTTGCTGCTGCGCGTTGGAGATATTTGAGGAGGCTGAGCCTCGATACAGTGACCGCATAGCGTACATCGTGCGCGCACCTTGCGCCGTCCCGGTTTCTTGCGGTGCTATCTCCAAGATACACTGTACGAGCACGTCTTATGAGGCGATGACTCAACGATTTTCGAAGACGCGATTCAACAGGATACGACTGATACGGAATTTGCTCACCTAACGACCCGGCAAGACACCGCCTCTTCACCGATTCACATTGAGGCACCGACCCCTCGGAAGCGATACCTGCGTACGGGCGACGGCCGAGAACAGACATTGTAACGATGATGGAATCTTGATATCAATTCGAAGTAAGCACCTGGCCTCCAATACTTGAACACGGGTTTCTATGTACGATATCGAAGCTTTGGACTCGGCTTGACAGCGGAAATTGCTACGCGATGTTGTGGCAATATACCCCGGATTTGGCCAGCTGTTGAACCGCTGGAACGGAGCTTTCACTATCAGTCGTTGCCAGCGCTGACGTCCTCGGAGTAGCACGCTACAAACGCTGCACTGCTAAGTCACGAGAGACATCAGGTACGGAATGGTTCCACCACTGATTGGCACAGATAGTCCGACGGCTTCGAAGTGTTAATCTAACGGCTATCCCAAGATCTACACCCAATAGGGCCAATTGTTACCCTAGTAAGTGGCAAGCTAGACTTGCCAGCATCGCGATGCATACGTTTCCAAGATTCGACGACTTTTCCAACATTTGCACTTTCTCCGTACAGCACACTTCCGGACGTCGGACAAGCGTCTAGGCATTGAGGAGCTTTGAGCACATCCCTGCTGGTAAACAACGATCACTTCTGCTCACGGAAAGTCGATTGTGGACCTGGGTAAGGCGAGTACTTATTTCCATCCCACATCCATGGTTGAAGCGAGAGGGACAAAGAGTAAATTTTGGAAGCGCGCGTGTACACTTTGGTCTAGCCAATTGATGCTTTGCACGCGCCAGACTTGACACTCGATGGGTGATCTGGACCTCGATTCGAGTCCTGCTCGCCCATGAGGTAAGTGGCACACATATCGGGGTGCATGTCAAGTACACCTGTTGTGCTGGCAGGACGACACAAACATTATAGGTGGAGTGCACAAAGATAGATCGAAAAGAGTGTTTTGCGACACGATGAGATTGAGGGTGCGGCCTCTATCTATACATTAGTTGCTCCAGACTTCCCAAAGGATAAAGTGCAATTGCTCGTCGCACATGAAGTCTTTCACACGTGAATTCCGCACCAACGTCATGCAGATCATTCGCGAGCCGCCGCGTGGCGAGGCGCAACTCTCCGCGAACTTATCGATAACGCACCTCGGCTTCCCGCAGACCTGCATCTCAAGTCCGCAGCTCGAGCTCCACGAACCCGTCGCAATTCCTGGCCAACGGCTCAACCACTCCATCCGTATACTCACCATGGCCAAACCAGTCACGACCACCCCCGCGACTTCTCCTGATCCCCAAAAACCAGACGAATGGTCCGGTCCCGCCGCCACAAAGTTCGACAAGTACGCCCATCCTCCACACCCCATCATTCAATCCGCCACTTCCCACCAGCAGCAGCACACGACTAACTATCGCACAGCAAGGCATACAGCGAGTACTTCGATCCCTGCCAAGAAGCTGCAGACAAAAGCATACGGTGTCTGAAGCGCAATGGCGGCGAGCGCGCCATGTGTACAGATTTCTTCCAGGCGTATCGGGACTGCAAGGAGCAGTGGCAGAATGCGCGGAAGGAGGCCAGGAGGAATAAAAGTTGGTTTGGATGAGTGGTCATTACATGGGGCATGATTCTGTACGATATTGTGGTGGATTGGGAGAGTCTCTACTCTGTGCATTGCATTTGCGCGGCGTTATATAAGGAATATGGGATAAGGAAAAGGCATCGTCTCAGGATGGGAAAGATGGAACATTACCGCTTTGCGACAGCCCTAGAGTTCATATGCTGCATGGGATCGTGGACTTGAGTACTGTAAACGCCCAGACATGTATCCCGATGATTCCCCGCGGGTAGGACAGCTAAACTTTCAAGTTTCAAGCCCATCCAACGGTCTAGATGCGCTACCCCTCCCTCTTAGCGCCCTTCACAGCACAAAACCAATTTTAAACCAGGACGACCCTTACACCACGAGTCAAACCCACGTTACGCTACAAAGTGTAGACTCTATATATATTTTAATTTTGCGAAGCAGTATCACAGCACTCTTGGTCCAAGTAAGCATTTTCCCTGGTCCCTCTTCACAACACATATCCTAACAGTTCTGCAGCGGTAGGATAATTGCCTTCCAAGCAATTGGCCCGGGTTCGACTCCCGGAGGGTGCACAACACTCTTCTCATCAATTGCATGTTGATTCTTTTTGCCTTTTTCAATGTTCCTCTAGCCCCTGCCGTGGAACACGGGATAGTGTTGGACGATGAGCCAGACTTTTTGCTTTGACCCACGTGGCTACAGGGTGATACATTGGCAGGTGTTTTCTATGCTTGCTCAAATCGCCAGTCGGAATTTCGACAAGACAGTGACGTGGACTACGTGTGCTTGGTTATGAGCGAAATGCGCGATACCATGAAAGGCGACGACTCGAGGATGCATATTCCTCACATTGACTGCAATCGCTGAATTGGCTTGGACTTGTGCTTCTCTCCTAACTTGTTCAATGTGGCAGCCTTTGCTTTGCTCACTAGAGCCGAGCTAGGGTGAGTGCTGCTAGAAGTATCCTGTTAACTCCATCACCGAGGGAGGCGGTAACACCAAGATGATAAAACATAGGGGGAAAATGATAAGCTGAAACCAATGTCCTTGTTGCTGCCGTCTATGGTATTCTCGTGCACCCTTCATAAGCCTTCATAGCCCATCAAGTTCACCACATGCATGCAAGCTATGCTGCTCCGGCCCTAGAAACAAATAAACAGAAAGCAAACAAGCGAATCTTCAAGAAAGAGATGCTCTCTAAGACTCGAGACTCGATACTCGATCGTTGTTGTAAAGCGTCGAGTCTCTCAGCGGCCGTCGCCAAGGTTCTCGAGATAATCAAGGTTTCAGGCCGCTTTCGATGGACTGCAGCAACCAGGCATGAGAGATGTGACAAGTCTCTCTAGAGCGCGGTCGTTCTCACATAAAGTCATCACTGTTGGACTATTAGCCATGACCTGATCTCCTCGGCATGATCTCAACTTACTCCCCAAAGTCATCATCATAAGCCGCCGTATCCGCCCTCGTAGTAACATCCCTCGATGCATTCAGCACAGTCTTCGTCTTCGCCGCCTTAGTCTTCTTTCCACCCTTCTCCGCCGTCTTCTCCTCCTTCATCTTCTCATTGCTCAGCGTCGTCAGCCCACTCGCAATCTTCTTGATCTGCTCGCTCGGCAGGTCCTTGGAGAGCTGCTTGCAAAACTCCTGCAGGAAGAGCGAGTACTGGCCCTTCTTAGAGTTACCGCCGATGAGCGGCACCAGCGTCTCGCGCAGCTTGGTGAACTGGTCCTTGGTGTTAGGGTCGAAGATCTTGAGTGAGCTGAGGTCGATAGCTTTGGTGGGATCGCTCTCATCCGTCACGGTTACGGCCTTGCCAGCGCGCTTGTTGCTGATGCCTGGGTCGCCGAAGAGTTCCTCTGCTTGTGCCCGCGAGCCGTCAAGCTCCTGCTGTCGTAGCCGGATGCGGCGCTCCTCCTCGGTCTCGTCCTCGTCGCTGTCGTAGTCGCCTGCCAGCGCCTTTAGTCGGTTTGCTTCCCGGCGCTCCTCGATCCGCTGTGCCTTGCTCTTCTTGTTCGCTTTGGCCTCTGCCTCAGCCTTTGCTTTGGCCTCGGTGGCCTTCTTTGCCTTTTCGCGCTCGACTTCGGAGTCCTCGGCGGCGTCCCAAGATTCAAGGACCTGTCGTGGTAGTCAGTACATGCATGTATACTTTTATGCATGGCGGGGCGAAAGTTGTGCAGCGCGGGGCAGCACAGGCTCACGTACGTCGCTGTCTTCCTCCTCATCGTCGAACTTGCCGCGGCGGGCGATGGGCTTACTAGGTGGAGAAGAAGGAGGCGTGCTCTCCTCATCCTCGTCATCTGTGTTGCAGGTGTCAGTTGTTGTGCGCTGAATGTGCAATATGCGGCAGCCTTTTCTGCTCGCACATTCGAGAACATGACGTACCCCATTTTCCTGGTGCCATGATTGCGGTTCGTGTGTCTCGAGTGTAAGAATTGGTCGTCGAAGACGTATCGTTAAGAGTAGCAAGTCGATTTTTGTGTGCAAGTTTTATGGGTTGAGGGGCGGATATGCTTGGGAGAATGTATTAAGTGCACCGCGCGAAAGCGTGTTGCGGACAATGGTTGGGCTCGGTGACTGCCTGGCTCGCTTCCGGACTGCGTAAAAAATGCCTGTAGTTGCTGCCCAATCATCGTGCCCATATGCTTTCACCATGTACTATCCCACGGCACAGGGACATGAAAGCTTCATTTCGTGACTAATCTTTGTACAGCTCTGATAATACCTAAGCCACGATGCTGCCTTTTTTAAACCAACTACTGTTCGTGGAGAATCTGAGACCATGAACGTTAATAGAACCAGGCTTTTCCTCGCCCTGCTCTCATCAAGTTATTACACTATCTGCGCAGCAAGAACATACATACAAAACTATGCTTGCCGACCAATACAACAGAAAAGACTTGCGTCCTGCGTCTTTGTTCCAAGCTTTTACCCAAACCCTATGTTACAAACAATGGTTATGAAGAATTAGCGTTCAGGTACTTCCCATGGTCGCCAAAACTTCCACCCTTCCCGAACTTCTCGTTCATGCTTTCTCCTCGAACTTTGAACGCCTACAAGTCTTTCGATCCCGATCGTTCCCTCCGCTCTCAAGAACTTCTCTTGATCAATCTCCTCACCGCCCTCCTCTTCGTTGCCATTGTGCAGGACAGCTGGCCAAAGAATGCCAACACCGTCTCCGGCCAGTGTGGTCTCGAACTTCTCGAACCCTTCGTTCTCGAGTTTCACCTCAAGCGAGTCGAGGATCTTGTACTTGAGCTTCGTCCCATTCGAGATGATCGAGGCGCTACAGTCGATTTCGGAAGACGCGTCTGACTCATCTGATGACGAGTCGTGGTGATGGGTGCCGTTGCTGTTCGATAGCGCTGGGGGTTGTGGTTTAAGTATTGTGATCGCGCAGCCTCCACCTCCTGCTCCGGTTAGTTTGGTCCAGCCAATACCAGTGTGATCGATGATCTCGCGGATACGTTCGAGCTTTGGATGCGATACGCCAAGGGACACAAGCAAACCGTGGTTCACTGTGACGAGCTCGCCAAGGTATTTGAGAGAGGCGTGGGAAGTCGGGTCGAAGTCTGGTGATGTGAGTAGTTTGTGTGCAGACTCGGTGACAAGACCAATGCCGTTGAGGATGTTCTCTGTGAGAGCGGGATGTGCTTTTTTGAGGTTTGCCACCTTTGCAACTTCGGTCGCCGTGCTGCGTGACTGTCGCGTGTTCACCAGGAGTAGCGGTAACTCTGGGAAACTGTGTAGTGGTATTACCATCGGTGGCTTGTCGTAATCTCTCCGCTGGAATAGTACTGCCTTTCCACCGGACGACACTGTGTTATCAACCCCTGATGGGTTGCCGTGTATGCACATCTCTCCAACGAACGCCCATCTGTTTATCCGCTCGATGTTGAGCTCGCACTCTTGTGGTGGTTGGTCCTGATGTGGACCGCTGAGCGCACGAATCTGCATGAGCATTGCAGCGCTCAAGCAGACAGAGATACTGGCACTGCTCCCAAGTCCGGCGCCAATGGGGATCGTTGAACGCAAAGTGTACACGCAAGGTGGTGTCTTTCGCGACGCGAGTGAGAGGAAGAGGTATAGGAAGGAGCACGCCGATGCGTGATGTATCTTGCGTATCGACTCGGGGGCTTTGGGCGAGACTTCGTCTATGAAGGGTTGTATGGCAGCCATGAGGTCGGGGTCGAGCGCGGTAATAAGATCGTAGTAGTACTTCTTCTTCCCTGGCTTCGAGAAGCTGTCCCATGGCAGGTCGTCAATGTTCCAAGTATGTTCCATTTGTATGTCGGGGAAGCGCAACTTGACGGTTCGATTCGATTTGGAGAGGAACGAGACGTGGAGGTACGAGCGCAGGGAAATAGCAGCAGCAATAGCGGCCTGGCAATCGTCAGACGAATCTCTGTGCGCTCAGCGACCGATGCCTACCTTTCCATGTACCACTGCATGCTCTCCATATACAATGACTTTCCCAGGCGCAGAGACCATGAAGGGAGGCATCATGGGCGACGACTGCTTCCTGAGCAGCGCAGGGGCGCCATTCTTTGTTGGCGCGTCGACGGCGGGGAGTTCGGGGGTCAATTGTGCGGGCATTGTGTCTATGGGCGAGGCTTCGGGTGTTTGTGTGCCATGCGATGAGGTAGTGCGCGGCGGCTGAAGGAGGGCTGCAGTCATGGTTAGCTATGCACCCTGTACTGCGCACGCGCACCAAGGGGCTCACCTGGCGCGTCCCTTCCTTTCCTGCGAATGCTGCCGTTTGTAGCCATGCCAAGACCCTGTGTGAATAAGACCATGCGGAGAAGTTGGGGTTTGTAGCGTGGTCAGGAGACGATGAGTGGTCCCGGGTTGATAATGTTGGGCAAGAGGTCATTATACATGGGCTAAAGCACGACCCCGGACTAGTGACATGCAAGGAACATTGTTTCTGGAAGCACAGAGGCCGCCCTATGGCCGTCTCCTCGTTTCCAAGAAACCATCACAGCCTTCTGCTTCGTCAACTTGCCATTCACGGTTGCACCTGGCCACGCATCACGCGGCCATGCCAGATGGTTTATGGACTAACGACGCATTCTTACGCAACAATACTAATTGCGCCTCTTTGACTGGACCTGGCAAGAACCCTGCAACAATAACCGACCATCTGGGTCGCAGCCGAATACCGGTATTCAGATTGCAGCTATCCGAGAAAGAATTTGGGGCAACCAAGTGCACAGAGTCGCAGTACACGGTGGCTGCAGAATGAGCCGAATTAGCTTGGAGATTGTCAAAGGACTTCGTGTTGTCCTCCAGAGTAGAGTTTCTCCTCGAAAAACGAGAAGATGCGCCACGCACGTCTGATATTGATGAATGGATCGCAGATGAAAATGCATTGCAGTGTATCTCCTCTTTCTGGAGTACGCTTAGTTGCGATGATATAGATGCAAGAAATATGATCCCAAACGCCACGCTATGCTTTCGAAATGGTCTCTGCAGCTTCCTATGAAGGCGTCTTGATCATGAAGATCTCTTTCAACGCTTGTGCGTCCATACTGGCAGCCTTTTTCTGCCTTATGTATTTCTGCCTCACTGCGTG